TATTACCATATTTAATAATATTATAATATCGTTATAAAGGATAATATATCGTTATCTATTAGTTTATATCAATATTAGTAATTTATCCTTTATATTAACCTAACATGTATAGGATATTATATTAGTAACTCCATAGATATCTTTAATATAATTAATAGCATATATTTTATCTATAACCGTATATATATCCACGGTTACCTATTAATAAACTAGATAAATATATATTAATATCTCCATCATATTTATTCATGTATTTAACATTATATATTTATTAGGGATCGTATTATATTAACATGATTATCTATTGATATCTTATTACTATTTATTATAGATAGGTATACGATAACTTAACATTTATAACCATATTGATAATTACCATAGATTTACACGTTATATTAATAATGATACGTTATCCCATTGAGATATTATATATTATTAATATGGGTTATATTATTATAATTAAAGGGAATAGATTTATACTATATTATTACATATTTATAATCTATTATTTATATTAATTTATACATTTACACACCATAGATAAAACCTATCGTTATATTATTATCATTATTATATATTTAATATGTAGTATATTTATAGTAGATTTATATAAGGTTATAGGGGATATATCATTAACTAGTTTATCTTATCTTATTTATATAATATAGGTTAACGTATAGCGTGTAATATAGATAAGATATAAAATACTAATATAAGGTAATATAATATATAATACTATTGTATCCATTATTAACATGTATTAAAATATAATTATATATGTATGGTTAATATTACTATTGGTATCGATAGATAGCCCCTTTACCCTATTATATTGTGATAAAATACTAATATAAATATATAGAGATAAATAATAACTTAATAATATATATTGTGATAACTAGATATATAAATCTATATTAATGATTAATAATAGAATAAATGTATACGATTAATATCATCATAAGGGTATATAAATATATCTGATTCCCTATTATTTTAGTTTATAATAGCATAGAGATAAAATCCACTACATATTATAATTATAATAAACCCCTAACAATATATAATAAACTGCCATTAGACGCTATTAACCCAGCTAATATATCTTATATTATAATGAACTATTATCTCTAATTATTATATTTTATATTATGATATCTATAAATAACAATAATAAATATACGATAACCCAAGATAACGTATAAATTATAAATTATAAATTATATCCATATGGTTTAACATTAACATTAACCTGGTTTTATTTCCTTTTATAGGTACCCGTTATCTATTAATATATAATCGTAATATTACTATATGTTAACGATAACCTTGATGTTATCCGATATACCCTTATACCGCCTTATTATATATAATAGGGATTGGTTTATTATTACTACCTATACACGTAAAATAATATATTGGTTTATATTTATAAGTATAATAATATTGATATTACAATATATAATACTTCTATTAAATGATAATAGATATTTATATTTATATAATAATTATTTATATTTTTATAATTTACATAATTATATACTACTATTAATATTATACTATAATATATATGAATATAATGTAATAATATAATATAGAAATAACTAGTCATATATACACTATCATTTGTATAATTACTATTATTTTTGTATTCTAATATAATTTTATTATTAAACATATAATTATTATAATATATTAAATAACTTAATATATATTTATAGTATGATAAGATATAATTATAATATTTAATATTTACAATTGTGGATAATAATGTTAATAATATAATATTATTATATACTATATTATAAGAATTTAATATTAATATATTTACATGATAATAATTTATATAATTATGATAATATATTCAGTAGAAACTTACAAATAATAATATTTCATTACTAATAATTATTACTACTATCCATAATAATATTTTGTAATCTAATACATTTAAATTTAACATATCTAATATATTATATTTCATTCATATATTAATATTTATTAATAATAAGTTACTATTATATACAGATATTATATTACTATTATTATATATATATATTGATATTATTACAGTTATTATTATACCTAATATAGTTATAATTGATAATGTTTATATTTAATTCAAATGGATATATATTGTATTCGTATTTATAATTATAATTATTTAATATTAATATCACGATAACGATTTATAATAATAGTGATATCGATATCGATAGACCCTATATTAAGGCCATATTAAGGGATATACGGATATACGTATTTATATTATATATAATGATATCGATATCTGTATAGTGTTATCTTGTATTATATCAATATGGATTAATAATATAATATTAACTTAATATAAAATATAGATATTAATAATGCCCCTATAAATATCTATTGATAATAAGATAAAGAGGTTATAATGATATTTAATTATATATCTTATTACTATATACCATTAATTATATATTAAATTATTTACCTATAACTAAGGATATATTATTACTAATATTATATTTATTAGTGGTTGGCATATTATATATTTATAATATAGATGTTGATATCTAATATAGTGATCTATAATCCCTGTAATAAACTATTAGTTTAGATCGTTATCACTTCATTGGTATTATTAATAACTATATATAATATATAAATGGGATATGATAATAAACGATCACCTATGCCTTGCTATCATATAATATAATATACTAAATATCTTAATAATCATATAACATACCCTATATTAACTTAAATACCTAGTAAAGATAATATATTATTATTTATTGATAGTTTATCGTGATATTATTATATTATATAGAGATAAATATAACCTAATACCAATATTATTAATACCATTATAATGATATAAGATATAGATAAAGATATTACTATAAATACATATTATATTATATTAGTAAGTAAATATATCATATAGATACAGATATTACCTATTGTATATAATAAAGGTTGATATAATAGATTACTAAACACGTATATATAGATATATAATTAAATATATTGATATTATGGTTAACTGTAATAATAATATAGATATGGATATATAATAATTACTATATTATACTATAACAAGATATTATATATATATAATAATATTAATTATACCCGTAAGGGAGGAGATAAACGATCACCCTTATGTATGATCACATATTAATATTGAGTATATCTATTATTATTATATGGTTATCGTTAACATATGAATATATAGAGTTAATATACACTTATATAAGATATAATATCAATAAATTAGTAAATAGTAAAGGCCCTTATTAAAGGTATTTATCTAAGATTATATTATTAGATATTTATACATATTTATATACCCATATCTATATAATTATAATTATTAAAGGTAACGATTACCTATTAAC